TCAGCCTCCCAAGTAGCTGGGACTACAGGCACGCACCACCATGACCAGCTAATTTTTGGTTTTATTTATTTATTTTTTTTTTTTGAGACGGAGTTTCGCTCTTGTTACCCAGGCTGGAGTGCAATGGTGTGATCTCGGCTCACCGCAACCTCCGCCTCCTGGGCTCAAGCAATTCTCCTGCCTCAGCCTCCTGAGTAGCTGGGATTACAGGCACGCGCCACCACGCCCAGCTAGTTTTTTGTATTTTTAGTAGAGATGGGGTTTCACCATGTTGACCAGGATGGTCTCGATCTCTTGACCTCGTGATCCACCCGCCTCGGCCTCCCAAAGTCCTGGGATTACAGGCTTGAGCCACTGCACCCGGCCCTAATTTTTGTATTTTTAGTAGAGACGGGGTTTCACCTTGTTGACCAGGATGGTCTCCATCTCTTGACCTCATGATCTACCCGCCTCGGCCTCCCAAAGTGCTGGGATTATAGGCGTGAGCCTCTACACCTGGCCTGCCCATTCTAATTTAATTACATTGTAATCTCAAAAATGTGACCTGTATTTTTTTGTGCCCTAATACATACTCAATGTTATAAATATTTATAAACATGCTATGGCATTACCAAAGGTTGCACGTTCTCTCTTCTCTCTATGTATAAATGCATACATATATAAAATACATATGTTAAAATCCTTCAGGCCAGGCATGGTGGCTCATACCTATAATCCCAGTGCTTTGAGAGGCCAAAGCGGGCAGATCTCTTGAGCTCGGGAATTCAAGACCAACCTGGGCAACATGAGAAAACTCTGTCTCTACAAAAACAAAAAATTAGCCGGGGGTGGTGGCTTGTGCCTCTGGACCCAGCTACTTGACAGGCTGAGGTGGGAGGATTGCTTGAGCCTGGGAGGTTGCAGAGGCTGCAGTGAGCCAAGATCTTGCCACTGCACTCCAGCCGGGACAACAGAGTGAGACCCTGTCTCAAAAAAAAAAAAAAAAAAAAAAAAAAGCTTCATACTTTATTCTTTTCCATCGAGTTTTTCAATTTCTGAGACTAAAATCCCCCACTATGATTTGGGTTTGCCCATTCTCCTTCTCATGTACAAGAATTTTGCTTTTATTTAGTGCATTAAAGCTCATGGCTGATCTCTTCTTGGTGGATCAATCAATATCTAGCATTAGACTTTTAGCCTGAATTATGTCTATTAATATTGTGACACCTGGAATTTGTTATTTTGTTAATCACATTTGTTTAAAGCCCCAGAAATCCTCCTTATCTCTGGTTGTTCCTTTTACAGAACAGCTGCCAGTATCCTCCAAAGCCTCCTGAGAATTACCTCCCCATTTCGTTAAACAATTCATTTCCTCTGGAGTCAGCTGACTTATTTTCCTTGCCCCCTCTCATTCATGCTGGTGGCTTCCACATGTCATAGGTGGCCCCCAGTTGTTTTGTGAAGGAAGGAATGGGTGGTTTAGAGAGAGAGGTGGCCAGCACGCTGTCCCTGGCAATTGTGTGCTTCATCTCCTCTGAGATCCATTTTCCTGAATGGGAGGTTTTGTTTCATTGAATGTCATTCATGAACGTTTTTAAAAACTTTGACCTGTGGCCAGGTGCGGTCGCTCACTCTCTGTAGCCCCAGCACTTTGGGAGGCTGAGGCAAGATTGCTTGAGGCCAGAAGTTTGAAACCAGCCCTGGCAACATCAAAGTCCCTGTTTCTAGGAAGAAAAAAAAAATTAAAATTAGCCGGGCATGGTGGCATGCAGCTGTGGTCACAGCTACTTGGGAGGCGGAGGTGCCATGGGAGTATCAATTGAGTACAGGAGCTGGAGGTTGCAGTGAGCTATGATTGCCACTGGGCGATAGATAGAGTGAGATGTGTCTAACTAAACAAAAAACTTTGACCTTTGTGGAGAGCTCCCTTTCTTCGGAATGTGACGATAGACTATTCCCCTGGAAGAGGCACTGTGCCACTTGCCTGCTTCACAGGGTATCTGAAAGGGGGCAGCAGCTGGTCCCCTCCTATTGAAGCAGTTCTTGAGCTCATTACCTTCCTAACTGCGCCGTCCCCTGCATTGGTGCAGCCCAAGCCTGGAATTTCCCTGGGTCTGCCCTTCCCTTCTCGATGCTTCTGTGAAAATGCCTTGAGTTGTCATTTCCTTTCCTCTCATCAACATCATATCTTCATTGACTTTCCAGGAATTCCTCATTATTTCTGGCCTGCTTGTTTTCCAGCACTATTGTGGATTCATTCTATATAATTGTTTTTTTGTTGTTGTTGTCTTTTTAAGAGATTTGTGTGGGAAAGGAGACTGATGAGAGTGTTTGGCCTGCTATCTTGAGCTAATCCTAAAAGCAGTCTCAATTCTATAAAACAGTATGTACACAGAAGTAACGCCAGAGGCTAGTACACCAAACTGTATATATTTTTTCTTTTCTTTTTTTGAGACAAGGTCTCCCCGTGTTGCCCAGGCTGGTCTTGAACTCCTGAGCTCAAGCGATTCTCCTGCCTTGGCTTCCCAAAGTGCTAGGATTACAGGTGTGAACCACTGTGCCCAGCCAGACCCAACTATTAACAAGCAGTTACTTTGGGGTAATGATTTTATGCTTAATTTTCCTTTTCTTTTCTGTGCTTTTCTGTCTCTTCTTCACTTTTGTTTTAAAATTTTTTTTTGCAAAGTAAGGTAGCCAGTGGATCCCCGCTAATTACCTTTGAGAAGATGGAGGACCTTAAGAGTAAGATATTTATCAACCATAACAAGTCCGCCAAAGAGCCCTTGGTCCTCCTGTTGAGAGCAGTGATCCTTCAGACCTGCATGGCCATTTTCGCATTCAGGTCCCTGGGCCCCAGGTACTGAACGAAAACCTCTAAGGCTGGAGCTCAAGAATCTGTTTTTGAAACCCCCCACCGGTGAACCTGATGGTCATTTATTTTCTATTGGAAACCACTGATTTAGAGCACTTGTTTCCAAATAGGATCCACTGTACTTGCCTAAATTAAAAATCTTCTAGGCTGGGCGCCATGGCTCACACCTGTAATCCCAACACTTTGAGAGACCAAGGCAGGTGGATCACCTGAGGTCAGGAATTCGAGACCAACCTGGCCAAATTATGAAACCCCATCTCTACTAAAATACAAAAATTAGCCGGGCATGGTGGTGCATGCCTGTAATCCCAGCTACTCAGGAGGCTAAGGCAGGAGAATTGCTCGAACCCGAGAGGCGGAGGTTGCAGTGAGCTGAGATCGCACCACTGCACTCTCAAGACAAATACAGCAAGAACAACAAAATCTTCTACCACTTTTCTGCCTGCCTTCTCAAACTTGCAAGATCTCCCTCTAGTTTATCTTCACCAGTTGGAGCACTCACTCCCATGTACACTTGTTCTTCCAGATTACTTGTGAAAACATGGAAATTATATTGAAATGTATTAAAGTCTAAATGTTGAAAATGTCTTTAAGTTATTCAGAATGTCTATAATGGAAAACTATAATTCTACTCCTTTACACTGAGCTGCCCTTTCATGGGGAAAAAGATCTCTCAAGAAACTGAGCATGTATTTCTACATCCGGAGCAATGTCTATTTCTTCCTCTCTTTTGATTTTCATCTCTAGCCAGTTGCCTTTTCTTAACCAGACAGTCCCCAGTCCCGTGAGGACTCCAAGGAAAAGAAAATAGCCTTAGGCTTCTTAAAACCTCCCAGCATGAAACCTGACCAGCTATTCTTCACTCACCTTTTATTAGACACAAATATCTTTACTCATATTTTCATTAGTTCTTCTCTCATCAGATTCCAGCAGCTTACATTCTGGAATGCTGACATCATTAGTGGGCATGTGTGGTGTTATTCGGGAGCTTGTGTCCAGGTTTATTGGTTCATCATTCACCTAAACCAGGTGTCCCCAAACTTTTTACACAGGGGGCCAGTTCACTGTCCCTCAGACCATTGGAGGGCCGCCACATACTGTGCTCCTCTCACTGACCACCAATGAAAGAGGTGCCCCTTCCTGAAGTGCGGCGGTGGAGGCCGGATAAATGGCCTCAGGGGGCCGCATGCAGCCTGCGGGCCGTAGTTTGGGGACACCTGACCTAAACCAACATCTATTGAGTGAATGCTGTGTGCAACACTTTGCCAGACACTAGACGCACTTGACAGTTTGCAGAACAGGTTTCTCATCATCGCGTGTAGCCAGCCTGCCCACAACGCTGGGAAGCAGGTGGCAGTGGTGTTACCACCATGACCTTCATTGTATAGATGAGGAAACAGAGTCTTGGGAAGATTAAGAAACTTATCCAAGGTCACACAACTTACAAGTTTCAGAGGCTGGCCTCAAACCCAGGCCCCCTGACCACGAATCCTATTCACTCACCAGTATGCCACCCCACCAACTTCCTATGGCAGGGAGAGGGGCTCCTGGCCTTGACTGCAGTTTGGAAATGACTCTGTAGCCATTTCCCTTCACCTCCTGATTTATGGTGGCAGTGCTGGTTTTCCAGGTCAGCTCACACGTATGGACAATTGCAAAGAAGCCTGTTATAAGAATTTGCGCCGGCCGGGTGCAGTGGCTCACGCCTGTAATACCAGCACTTTCGGAGGCCAAAGCAGGTGGATTGCTTGAGCCCAGAAGTTCAAGACCCACCTTGGCAACATAGTGAGACTCCATCTCTACAAAATAAGTTTTAAAATGGCCAGGCATGGTGGCATACGCCTATAGTCCCAGCTACTTGGGAGGCTAAAGTGGGAGGATCACCTGAGCCTAAAGAGGTTGAGGCTGCAGGGAGCTAAGATTGTGCCACTGCACTCCCGCCTGGGCAACAGAGTGAGACTCTGTTTCAACAATAACAAAAAGAGAATTTGTGTCTCTGTTATCAAAAACCATCCCAGTAAGGCCAGAGGGGGCAGTGGGTGAGTGCCAGGAGCCCCCTTCTTTCCCTATCAATGCCCTGGGAACTGGTATTTGTAGAAACTGCAAACACGTAGCCTCCTATGGTCACAGTGGCTTGTTTTCCATTTAGTCTCCTGGAGGAAGACTCCGAGGAGGAGGAAGACTTGTGTCGCATCTGTCAGATAGCCGGGGGTTCCCCGACCAACCCCCTCCTGGAGCCTTGTGGCTGTGTGGGAAGCCTGCAGTTTGTTCATCAAGAGTGCCTGAAAAAGTGGCTGAAAGTGAAAATAACATCAGGTAGGTGGGGAAGGAAGTGCAGCGAACGTGCCACGACATGTAATTAACACGAGACACCCCGGTGCGGGCCTCAGAGCCTCGTCATCAGCTCACTCTCCTCCGCAGAACAGCGACTTGGGGACACGTGGCTGAGCTCCGGATTCCTGCTCTTAAAAGCTGTCTTTAAACTATGGTAGGGAGGTTTGGTTTTGTTTTTCTAAGAGAAGAATCCTGGAAACAAATGCTATTGAATTCTACCCCTGCTCAAGGCCTGAGCAGAGATGCTAAGATCGACTCTTAGAAGGAAGGAAAGAGAAGTGGGTCAGTAGGGGAAGCTCAGCAGACACACAGTAGCCACACAGCTAGCAGACACCCAGCAAAATATTTCAGAAGGTCCCTCACACGAGACCCCCCAGCACACACAGGCTACTTCCTTTTATTTGGGGGCAGGAAATGGGCATCACCTAAGAAACTAAACAAAACTGCCTTTTAGCAGTAGGGATAAGAGTGCCCATCTGATTTTGGACAACCATATTACACAAAGAGATTTCCATGTGCTGATTTTATCAGCTCCCTAACATCTTATAATTGGGTGTGCAGCCCCTTCTCAACTCCCCTGAGCAGGTTATAACCCAAATATAACCACATCGGTAGGTCAGCTGTAGTTTTCTGGGCAGAGAACAGGTTTCTTTAAAGCATGGCTTTAGGAATGAGATCAACTTTAACTGCCGCCCCCACCCCAAAAGAAAATTCATGGAACATCAGTGCAAAGAGCAACTTGATCAGAAAACAGCGGCTGCTTCTTTCAGACACACCTCTCTGAAAACATATTACCCCACAGCCAGATCCGATTTCTCCCCTCTTCCATGTCCTTCTCCATAGCCGTCACTATTCCAGGTTGCAGGGAGACTGAGAGATTTACCCTGTTCCCATGAGATGCCACGCCCCTTCACCAAGCACAGCACACCATCGAATTACAGAATGAACACGTGGGGTGATCATACTAACTGTCTCATCCATGAAGCCTGTTTTACACAACTTCCCTAGCATAAGAAATATAAGACCACTGATCAAGATCCTTAAATGCATATCCATATAACGAGCAAAGTATTCAGTCCTTCAGAGAGCCAAGAAACAAGTGGAGTCGGGTTGCTAATGACTCCGCCATGCAATGCTATATCTTTCTAGAAATGTGGGCCAATTAAACATCTAACACAGAAAAAGTTACCCATGAAACATGTTGTGAAAATGCTGTTGTGCTCATAAATGTCAATGCTAGTATGGATATGTTCAGCAGGATTAGATCAGAAGACACTCAGGACATTCGGTAGCCTAAAGCATTCCTGAACGATGCTAAAAAAAAAATCAAGCAAACAAAATGCAGATAAGGGATTACTTACTGTTCATCTTTGCCCTTTGAAAGCCTCTATTATTTACTGTTTCTTTATATCCCCAGTGGGGAAATAGAATGGGGGCATGAAACTGCACAAGCCCCATTTTTACCAACTACATGCAGGTAACTAACAAGTTGTCTATTTTCTAATGCATAAAATAAACACCAGTACATCATTAGTCAAAAGCCACAACTAGGCTGGGCGCGGTGGCTCACACCTGTAATCCCAGCACTTTGGGAGGCTGAGGCGGGTGGATCACGAGGTCAAGAGATCGAGACCATCCTGGTCAACATGGTGAAACCCTGTCTCTACCAAAAATACGAAAAATTAGCTGGGCATGGTGGTGCGTGCCTGTAGTCCCAGCTACTCAGGAGGCTGAGTCAGGAGAATTGTCTGAACCCAGGAGGCGGAGGTTGCAGTGAGCCGAGATTGCGCCATTGCACTCCAGCCTGGGTAACAAGAGCGGAACTCCATCTCAAAAAAAAAAAAAAAGCCACAACTACGAGGGGGAAACTGGCAGAATGTTTGTTTAGACCTAACAGCCCAGTTCTGCATCTTCCACTCTCACGTTGGGGAATAGGATAAAAATACTGATCTAGAATGCTTGTTTTTAGAAAAACAGCAACAAAGGAGGCCTTCTCATATTTCTTTTCCCAGATGAGTCTGAGCTCAGGCTTATGAGCTGGCCCCAGGTACTGCTGTAACTAGCACCCACACCTGGCCCCTCGCTCCCTCACTGTTCTCAGGTGGGAATGTTACCTGGGCAGAAGTAAAGGCAGATTTTAAAGCCATTGAATGAGAATACCTTCTACCATCTATTTGGTCGTCACTAATTTATTTATTTGGACCTGTGTTAGGTTTACAAGAAGAAGAAGAAAAAAGGCCAATATTCACTCTTTTACAAACACCTGTGTCACAGACTTTTAGCCTCTGTGCAGCAATTCCAAGTTTATGAACCATCGTGTTTATATTTAAATAGAAGGCAAGATCTGTTATTTAAAAGTCATGTGAATTTCGCTTCTATGAAGCTTGCATAATAGATGACTACAAAGGAATTTTTCAGCTCTCAGATTCAAGGTCATTTTCTACGAAGATGGCTGGCTTTAAAGGAAGGTCACTGAAGCTCAGAACTCATAACACACACAAGTTCTCTCTCAAAATACCACCTGTCCAAAGTGCTAACACAAACAGACCCACGGTTACATGTACCATGTAATTCTTTACCTAATTTAAGGAGCAGATCTCGGTGCCGTGAAGACCTGTGAGATGTGTAAGCAAGGCCTACTGGTTGACCTGGGTGACTTTAACATGACTGAGTTCTACCAGAAGCACCAGCAATCTCAGGTAAGAAATGTGCCCACTCTGCCTCCACGGGCTAAAGTATGTTAGAGGGGCTGGGAGGGAAGATATTCCCTTTCCCTGATCTAAAGAATGCAGAAGGCCTCTGCTGGCAGGAGTTTGACAGTATCCATCTAGCTCACTTTTTTCAGAAGACCTGCCACTAAATTGGAATATTAGAGAGTCAAAAAGTCTTTTTTTTTTTTTTTTTTTTTTTTTTGAGGCAGAGTCTCCCTCTGTTGCCTAGGCTGGAGTGTGGTGGCACAATCTCACTGCAACCTCTGCCTCCCAGATTCAAGTGATCCTTCTGCCTCAGCCTCTCAAGTAACTGGGAATACAGGTGTGCACAACTATGCCTGGCTAATTTTTGTATTTTTAGTAGGGACGGGGTTTCATCATGATGGCCAGCCTGGTTTCAAACTCCTGACCTCAAGTGATCTGCCTGCCGCCACCTCCCACAGTGCCTGCCTCCACCTCCCAAAGGGATTACAGGCATGAGCCACTGCACCTGGCCAAGACTTGGAAGTCTTGTTTGTCCTGGGTTGAGTTTGCCCTGCTGTTGGGGACTAAAGTAAGAAGCTTCAGTGGGCAACTGGACACCCAGAAATACCAAAAATTCTGGCAAGCTCCACACCCACATTTGCAGAAGTAAGTTAATAACAAGAGAAAAAAAATATCAGGGTCTTGGAGGAAATGGTCCCCAATTTAAATATCAAGTAACACTGGGATAAGAAGGGACTTATCACACCTGTAATTCCAGCACTTTGGGAGGCCGAGGCGGGCAGATCACCGGAAGTCGGGAGTTCAAGACCAGCATGATCAACATGGCGAACCCCCATCTCTACTAAAAATACAAAACTAGCCGGGTGTCGTGGTGCATGCCTGTAATCCCAGCAACTTGGGAGGCTGAGGCAGGAGAATTGCTTGAACCCAGGAGGCAGAGGTTGTGGTGAGCCGAGATTGGCTAAAAAATTGCACTCCAGCCTGGGCAACAAGAGCCAGACTCCATCTCAAAAAAAAGGAGAAGGAACTGCTTTACCTGAGGTTAAATGCCTACTGGCTGATCTTTAACACCTAGTGAATTCACTCTCCTGGGGTATTTTGACTGCATTTCTAATACTGTAAAAAAAAGTTAACCTCAGGTGGGAAGGTGATTTATGCCTGGGATAACAGTTAATCACCCAATTCTCAGGCAAACAGTCTTCCATTTAAAACTACTAAGCTGGTGCAAAAGTAATTGCAGGTTTGCCACTATCAATGGTAATATCCACGATAACTTTTGCACAAACCTATACTATTTTGTTCAGTATGGAAGTCACAAGCCACTTGTGGCTAATAAGCAGGTGGCTGTTCTAATCAACATGTCCTGTAAGTGTCACCTACACACCAAATTTCAAAGACACAGTACCCAAAAAAGGTAAAGTATCACCCAATTTTACACACACACCAAGTTTCAAAGACTTAGTACACTTACCCATTCAGTATATAAAGAGCTTGAAGTTATCACTTCGTTTTAACAAGTAAAAAGCTGAAAAAAGTGCAAACTCAGCAACCCTTCTTAGATCCACAAGAGAAGTGAAGTCACAGAGCAAATCGCTGCCCCTAAAACTAGAGAGACAGGCAGAGTCACTAATCTCAGCACTTTGGGAGGCCAAGGTAGGCAGATCACTCGAGGTCAGGAGTTTGAGACCAGCCTGGCCAACGGAGCAAAACCCCGTCCTACTAAGAATACAAAAATTAGCTGGGTCTGGTAGCGCATGCCTGTAATCACAGCTACTCAGGAGGCTGAAGCATGAGAATTGTTTGAACCTGGGAGGTGGAAGTTGCAGTAAGCCAAGATCACACCAGTGCACTCCAGCATGGGCAACAGAGTGAGATTCCATCTCAAAAAAAGAAAAGAAAAAGAGAGAATCACAGCTTACCTGAGCAGAGACTCCTGAGCAGAAAGCTCCGTGGAAACCAGTGCTGGTCGAGTAACCCTAGCTCTAATTAATGAACTGCTGGAAGCTCAATGTAGACAAGTCTGTGGGTCAAAAACTCCAAGGGGACCCCATCATAGGGGTATCCCCACACTTCTGTGAGTTTTATTTCCAGGAGTACAAGCGGGTGCCTACAGTGAATAGCAGAGACAAATTCCTTCATGCTGCCAGCAGCGGGAGGGGAAAGTCATCATTTTGGTGTAAGCCAGGGCTTCCGGTTCTTCCTGACAAAGTTTGCCCTCAGGAGAAACTGCTTAGCCAGAGCGTAACCTTTGGAGGTTTTATCAGAGCCCCAAACCTAACTAGAAAAAGGGAAATTCTCAACTCCAGCCCCCTCTAGCCATCTTGTTCCACCTGAGGTGGGAGGGGGAGGACAAAGGAACTGAGGGGCACCTGTGGAGTTCACAGTCCAGAAGCACAAGCTCACTCAGGCTGGGACCTGGAGCCTCAAAGGACTCTAGAACGCTTCCCCTCTCCGCACACCTCACCGCCACATCGCTAACAACCTGTTTCTAGCAGTTCCTTTTACACAGTACATCACGTTCGTCTACTAAGAAAAAATTATCAGGCATACTCAAAAGTGAAAAGCACAGGTTTTCACTGACCTCAGATATGGCAGGGATGTTGGAATTACCAGACCAAAACACTATGATTAATACGCTAAGAAGTCTAACAAGTAAAGTAGACGGCACTCCAGAACAGATGGGCAGTGTACTCAGGGGGACAGAAATTCTAAGAAAGAAAAAGAAATGACTGAGATGAAAAACACTGTAACAGAAATGAAGAATGCCTGCGATGGGCTTATTAGTAGACTGGGCACAGCTGAGGAAAGAACCTCTGAGCTTGAGGATATCCCAGTAGAAACTGCCCAAAATGGACAAAGAGAACAAAGATTGGAAAGACAAGAAAACAGAGCAGTATGGGCTGGGCGTGGTGGCTCACGCCTGTAATCCAAGCACTTTGGAGGCCAAGGTGGGTGGATCACCTGAGGTTGGGAGTTCAAGTCCAGCCTGACCAACATGGTGAAACCCCGTCTTTTAAAAAATAAAAAATAAAACAGAGCAGTATATCAAAGAACTTGTGAGACAACTATCCAAAAGGCATGACAGACACATCATGGAAATACCCAGAAAGATAATAAAGAGAAAAAGGAACACAGAAATATTTGAAGCAACTATGACTAAGAATTTCCCCCAAATTAATGTCAGACATTAAATCATAAATCCAGGAAATTCAGAGAACACTAAACAAGGTAAATGCCAAAAAACAAAAACAAAAAAACAACCACCACTGTGACATATTACATTTAAAAAGGGGGAGGAGGGAGAATCAAAGATAAAGAAAAAATTCCTGAAAGAGGCCAGAGGGGAAAAATACCCTCCCTAAAGCGGAGTAAAGATAAGAATATCTGACTTCCCAGAAAGCAGGCAATCAAGAAGAGAAACAAAATATTTAAAGCGTTAAGAGAAAAAAACTGACCAACCTAGATTTCTGTACCCTGCAAAATTATCCTCCAAGAGCAGAGGAGAAATAAATATTTTTTGCAGGCAAATACTTAATGCCAAAAAAAGTAAAATATCAAAAAGAAGAATGTAAAAATTATAGGGAAGTGATCATTTGGAAATATTAGGTTAATAAATTATATTATTAAAAATAATTTCAGCAGCTTGTTTTTACTTCTTTAATGTGGCTACTAGAAATTTTTAAATTACGTCTGTGATTTGCGTTTGTACCTCTGAGTGTATTCTATTGGATGGGGCTGATCTAGAAGGTGATTTCCACATAATAAGCAGTCAATACATATTTGCCAGACCTTTTTTTGGCCAACATTTTGACAACTAAGACAAAATGATTTGCCTGAGTCTGGGCAATTCTACAGTTTCCTTTTTTTTTTTTTTTTTTTTTGAGACAGAGTCTTACTCTATCTCCAGGGCTGGAGTGCGGTGGCATGATCTCGGCTCACTGCAACCTCCGCCTCCTGGATTCAAGAGATTCTCCTGTCTCAGCCTCCTAAGTAGCTGGGATTACAAGTGCCCACCACTATACCTAGTTAATTTTGTGTGTGTGTATTTTTGGGAGAGACAGGGTTTCACTCTGTTGGCCAGGCTGGTTTCGAACTCCTGACCTTGTGATTTGCCCGCCTTGGCCTCCCAAAGTGCTAGGATTACAGGCCTGAGCCACCGCATCCAGCCTGCAGTTCCCTTTTCTTAAATTCTAAGGTTGTAGACCAAAGAATAAAACACTGATAAGAATGAAGGATATTTGAAGAGTTCAATGAATAAGTCAGTGCATAAGGCCACAGCAGCATTACAGGAGTCAGCAGGCATCAGGAGGTTAGAGAAAGAAAAGGAAAAAAGAGAAAAGAAGAGAGGAAGAGAGGGGAGGGCAGGGGAGGGGAGGGGAGAGGAGAAGGATTTCTTAAGAAATAAATTTAGTGTTTAGAGACCTGAAGGTCTCACATCACACCATCATAACCACCAGGCAGTAAGATCTGAGACAATAAACAGAGCGACTCACATTCCTGGACGCTGAGCATGTGGGAGGCGAAATATCGAAAGAAACCAGACCCTCTCAGTGCCTGAGGTCAGGTGCCAGCCAGGGTGCCGACAGGTTCATCTCAAGAAATAGATTGCTTCAGGCAATGAAGCCTGCCAAATTTCCTAAGGAGGATGCATCCAGATGAGGATGGGCTGCCCGGAATACTACCAGAGCAATCCACAGACATCACAAACACCCTGCAGCCCAGGGGAATGCCTTGTCTAGAAAAGACCCTTTTTGGCTCCAAGCCTTTCCACATGGCTCTCCCTCTGCCAAGCTGTTGCCACCATCTAATTTCCTTTATCAATGGTATTTATAGAACTGACCCAATAGCAGCACATTTTTCCATTTGTACTAAGATGTTTGCACTCATATAGTGTGTGGCCGCATGCCCCAGTGAAAAGCCTACCAGCTTTAAGAGCTGAATCTAGGCCGGGCGCGGTGGCTCAAGCCTGTAATCCCAGCACTTTGGGAGGCAGAGGCGGGTGG